GTCTATAGGGTTTTTAGGATTTACAGGGTCTAGGGTAAATAAGGAGCTATGCATTCCTTAATTCCTCTTGCAGCCCTACACCCTAAACCCTAAACCCTAAACCCATGTTTCAATTCGGGCATGTTAGTGTCTCTGGACGCGAAGCTCTGAACTCTAAGCACCCGGAGCCCATAAGCCCAAAAACCCCGCTGAGGGTTTGGGGTTTGTGGTTTAGGGTTTAGGGTTTAGGGTTTAGGGTTTAGGGTTTAGGGAACCCTGAAAGCCCCAAAACCCCTGAACTGAGGGGCCGGCACCTCCTTCAAAACCCGAGTTGCTGTATGTTTTTTTCCGCCCTTTTCTCGGGGGCGCATTGTCTTCTCTTAAGGGAACTATGCCTTGATCATTGGCACAGATTCCTTGCTAAACCCAACACCCCAAACCCTAAACCCCAAACCCCAAGCCCTGAACCCTAAACCCTAAACCCTAAACCCTAAACCCTAAACCCTAAACCCTAAACCCTAAACCCTAAACCCTAAACCCCCCTTTTCTTGGGGGTTTCAGAGAGGTCCACCCTCAAGCCAACAGTCAGGCCCAACTCGCCCAGCGAGGAGGACACCAGCCGGACTCCTGGTGGTTAGGGGTTCAGGGGGTTTAGGTTTCAGGGTTCAGGGTTTGGGGTACACGGTTTGGGGTTCAGGCTTGAGGGGTTAGGGTTCAGGGCTTAGGGTTTAGGGCTCAGTCCAGGGAAATCGCCTGGTCCAAACCACCGTAAAATGCTTGGCTCATCATCGTATGTGTTGTCTCAAGACCTGCAAAAGACACGTCGCGGGAACGTCCTGTAGGCCGGTTTTCACGGCGTGGAGCTAGCTTGGAGACACACGATCCTGAAATCGTCTATTTAATGGCATGGTTGGCGCGGCGCATGACAGTGTTACGCAAGAAAATGTCGTGAGTTTTCCGGCACACGTGATCGAGAAGGCAGTCGCCACCCTTTACCACATCGAGATCTGCAATCCAGATGCTGGGAAATTCGGCTGCGCGTGTGCCCGAAAGAGACCAGTCAAACGACTTCGGCATACACAAGATCCTCGCATTGGTCTCGCCTTTGTCCAGGTCTGCCGTTCGGGCTTACCGAGCCGTGAACTTTCACTGGTCGATTTAGGGTTTAGGGTTGCGGGTTGCGAGTCATGAGTAGGGTTACTAAGTCTGGTATCTATACCTATAACCATGCTTCTAATTACCAATTACCCATCAATCTCCAACCAGCGTTTGAGGGTCTGAGGGTTGGTTTTAGGCTTGGTTTGGTTTGAGGGTCTTAGGGTTCAGGGTTTGAGGTTTTGGGGTTTGGGGTTTGGGGTTGAAGGCCTTTAGGGTTTAGTAGTGTTTTGGGGATTGGGGTTGAGGGTTCTCGGGTTGAGGGATTAGACCCCAAACCCTAAACCCTAAACCCTAAACCCTAAACCCTAAACCCTAAACCCTAAACCCTAAACCCTAAACCCCAAGGGGTTTTGGGACCGGATGAATGGTGAATGATTCTGAGCTCGAAAGAGTCGGCTTTCTGCAATGAATTACGTTGTGGTGAGGGTTTTGGGCCGGGTCTGCCTACACTAACAACCCTTAATGGGGATTATAGTATTCCTATCATTCGTAGAAAAAGGGGGAACGTCCCAAGTTTTGGGCGAGATGCTGGTTCATTCTCGCTGCTTGTTGCCAGACAGTGCTTGGGGGTTCATGGCAGTCATAAGTGGGGTTAGAATACAGTTAGAAGTACCCTAAACAGGGTTATAAGTATACAGTTACCATGCTTATATCACCCTAAACCCTCAACCCTCAACCCCAAACCCTAAACCCTAAACCCTAAACCCTAAACCCTAAACCCTAAACCCTAAACCCTAAACCCTAAACCCTAAACCCTAAACCCTAGACTTTGCTTACCCGCGAGCCTCCCAGTCGCTGCTAAGAGGTTCGAAATTGCTCTTCGACGGGATGTTGAGCATCATGCGGTGAATGCTGTGTGAGTCCCTGCGTACTTCAACGCGCCGCCCTGCCAGCAAGCCCCTAAAGCTCTAAAGCCCTAAGCCCTCAAACCCAAAAAACCCCTGAAACGATTGAAACCCTGAAGCCCTACACCTAAACCCTAAACCCTAAACCCTACACCCATAAACCCCAACGGCACAGTTGTTGGGCTGGGCCTTCGCCTTCGCGAGCGCGGTTGTTTTCGGGATAGCGTTTCGGGAGACGACCCTATGAAACCTCAAAGCCTACTAAGCCCACATCTCGATTTCCGGTTTCACACTGCATTTTTGAAACTCGCCTGAGAAGCTTCATCTGCACGAGCACAAATCGTCCAGCACGCTCAGACTTGTCATCTATCAGGACACTGGCAGAGCCATCATCTATCTACTTATGCCTACTACTGCTACTACTACTGCTGCTGCTACTACTACTACTACTACTACTACTACTGCACGATGGGTTGGCCGCAGCATGTCGTGGCCCACCCCAAGCACAAAACCAAACAAACTTACATAAGCCTTGCACCCGCCAATGCTTCAGATGTATGATGCGCACCATTTTGTAGCGAATGTTTGTTTGGGGTTTAGGGGTTTAGAGTCTAGTAGGGCATTAGGGTTCATGAGTTGAGGGTTTAGGGTATTTAGGGTTTCGGTATGTGCATTTAGCGGTTCCTGACCATTTTGTCGGCAATTGTGACGTAGCTAGATTGGAGTCCATGCTCTGTGCCGGAAGAGTTTCGCGAAAGAGTCTGAATTCGTGCATCGGCTGCTTTCCATGCCAGATGGACAAGGAGGTGCTCCGCGAAAGTTGAAGCAGGGGGGCGTCTTGCGGCCGCTAGTTAGCTTGACGGTGACCTAATCTAGGGGTCGGAATAATTACCAAGAATAACCCCTTATGGTCCTTTACATTATACTATAATTACCCCCGCCCCCGCCCCCTCCCCAAACCCTATTCTAATTCTTCAGGCTCCTACACTACTCAAGCAACGCTCAGTTGCAACAGCAGCTCCTCACAGTTTTTAAATCTTTACAGCCAAGTTTGCATCGTGGCACTTGGTGAGCATCCCTCAGCTAAGCTGTGTGATGCTGAGTATCACTGCTGCGAAGGAGGCAGCTACCAGGGTCTCAATCGTTGCGAGGATGAACTAGGGAATCGAAAAAAACCCTAAATCTCTGTTTCCTCTTGGTTGGGCTTAAGAGGATCCCACTGAGGAATACTTTCCGAGTGTTTGAATACGGGCCATCCCAGATACAGAAGAAGACTGCAGAGGTCCGTCAATTACGGAGTAAACTGCATCATCGTTGCCTCTATGAACTTGGTTCAACCGTAGATCCCTAAGCCTCTCTGGGGTTATACTGTGTCATTGAGGGCTTGGAGGTGCGTAAGAAGAAGGCATCGTCAAAAGCTCTTCGGTCATTCCTTAGCACCTCAGGTGGGTTTAAGGGGTTTAGGGTTGAGGGTTTAGGGGATGGGTTGTGTTCACGTTCTCGGGCTATGATAGCAATTCGGTTTGGGGTTGTTTAGGGTTTAGGGTTTAGGGTTTAGGGTTTAGGGTTTAGGGTTTAGGGTTTAGGGTTTAGGGTTTAGGGTTTAGGGTTTAGGGTTTAGGGTTTAGGGTTTAGTGCCTTAAAAGCGCAAGTTCAACCAAGTCGTCCCCAGAGAACCACCCTTCACTCCTCGTGACTCCGGCACGACGGCAATTTGCCAATTCGGTCGGTGGGAAGCCAAAGATCGAAAATAGCCATAAGCCCTAAACCTTGGGATGGTTTGGGGTTTAGGGTTTAGGGTTTAGGGTTTAGGGTTTAGGGTTTAGGGTTTAGGGTTTAGGGTTTAGGGTTTAGGGTCCGAACAGTCCTAAATAAGGATTATAGTACCCCCATATACAATCCCTGATAAGGACTGTTGGTATATGGGGGAACATCCCAACCTAAACCCTGAAACCTCGCTGGAACCGAGGTGACCCCTAAGCCCCAGACCCTTCGCCCTAAAACCCTAAACCCTAAACCCTAAAACCTAAACTTGTTGTGCAAACCTGTGTGGGGCTTCAGGACTTTGGTTCGAACCCACCCCTTCTTTTGAGGGTTTATGATTTAGGGTTTAGGGTTTAGGGTTCCCTCAGAATCGCTGCTAAACCAGCCCCCACACCCACCCATGGCGGGAGAAGCATTGCCCATCTCGTGTGTTTTTGTTTCTCTCCCCTCTTCCTCTCGATATCACTTTCTCGCTCTCTCGCTTTGAATATCCGCACTGTTGACATTCAGGGCAGCAACTTCACTAATTAACTCAAACTACTTTTTGGGATATTGGGTAACGAAGCATGTAATCCCATTTAGGGTACCTCTCGCCCTACCTATAGATGATATATATATATATATGATATATATGTATCTATGAACCTTCGAGTTTTGATCCCGATGTGGTTTAAGGCATATTCCTGCACCCTAAACCCTAAACCCTAAACCCTAAACCCTAAACCCTAAACCCTAAACCCTAAACCCCAATTACCCTAAGCATTCCTTAGTTCAGGGCTTGTAAGGGCTCTTCTGGGAGAAGCTCTCCTCAAGCTCGCGCCTCTCTGAGCCCTAAATCCTAAACCCTGAACCCTCAACCCTAAACTCCAAACCCTAAACCCTAAACCCTAAACCCCAAAAATCCTAAAACCCTAAAACCCTAAAACCCTAAACCCTAAACCCTAAACCCTAAACGTCGTAGCCGCTCAGTCAAGGCAGACGCTGCAAGTAGAACTGGCACCCAGGAGCCATGTTTAGGGTTTAGGGTTTAGGGTTTAGGGTTTAGGGTTTAGGGTTTACGGTCGAGTTGGCTTATTGCACCTGATGCTGTGAAAGTTTGAGGTGGTAAAGGCCTGATGCAATAGCGTGCAGACATCAGGAAAGGCCGAAACCCAACCTCTACCTAGCCCCTAGTCACTAACGCCTGTACCAGCAACCCTAAACCCTAAAGCCTACCCTGGTCATCAAACATCCTCATGCGTCCAGCGTTTGGCAATGGAAACACCCCACTGCTGTGCATTGCTCGCCCTGCTGCTTGCGGCGTGCGTCTGCATTCAGGTCTATCGTAGCAACGGCGAGGACGCAAGACCAGGGCCGCGATGTTAGGGGTATCCTTGCTCAGGGGATCAACCCTAAACCCTAAACCCCTAACCCCTTAACCCCTTAACCCCTAAAAACCCCTAAAAACCCCTAAAAAACCCTAAAAACCCCTAAACCCCTAAACCCCCTAAACCCCTAAACCCTAAAACCCTAAACCCCTAAACCCCTAAACCCCTAAACCCCTAAACCCCTAAACCCCCTAAACCCCCTAAACCCCCTAAACCCCCTAAACACCTAAACCCCTAAACCCCTAAACCCCTAAAACCCTAAACCCTAAACCCTGTGCAGGACCTACCGATATGGCTCCTGTACACCTCCGGGGTGGCAGCCACTTCAGTCAACTCGATACTGCACTTCGGCTACGAGTCGGTCGACGCTGCGCCCATGCACCAGGGCTACTTCTCGAAAGAGGCCTAGGGTTTGGGGTTTAGGGTTTGGGGTTTAGGGCTTGGGGTTTGGGGTTTAGGGTTTAGGGTTTAGGTTTTAGGGTTTAGGGTTTAGGGAGGAGCTTCCCCGAAAAGTCGGGGGGGGCACCGTGCAGGCCGTGGTGGAAGGTCACGTGCGCCGGGGCCGGCGCGAGTTGAACGTGGGCTCCTTCTTGGCTGCGGAGGTAGGGTTCCTTGCAGGTTCAGGGGTAGTGATAAGTTGGGCTGTAAGTATGGCACTTAGAACCCTTTTTAGGGTACTACAGCCCTACTTATAATTACCCATGAACCTCCAAGTAGGGGGGTTGGGGGAGGATGCTTTGGGATCGAAGTGTAGCCTGGGGTATTTAGGGGGGGGGGGGGGGGGTGGGGGTGGTGGAGTTTGCAACCCCCAAACCCTGAACCTTAGACCCTTAACCTTGGATGTTTTACTAACAGTCCTGAATAGGGATCCGTATAATCCCTATTAGTGCGCGCCTGTTAGTATAGGGGGGAACATCCTAACCTAAACCCCATAAACGCCAAGCCCTAAACCCTAAACCCTAAACCCTAAACGCCCTGACCTACCAAACTCAGATGTGGCGCCTTGGCCGCAACGCCACGGCCTTGGAGCTGGGCTGCGGAAACGGGCAGCTTACTCACAGCCTGCACCTTGACCGCACCTCTCTCATATAGGGTTTAGGGTGTAGGGTTTAGGGCTACTACTTGGAGATTCATGGGTTATAAGTAGGGTTGTATGTGCCCTAAATAGGGTTACAAGTATAGTTGCCATACTTATGACCCTACTTACAACGACCCATGAACCTCCAAGTATTCGTTTGCGTGTGTTGTCGGTCGAGACTGTCCTGCGTTTTTTAGTCTGTTGGGTGGGTTACAAACCCTGTGCCGTAAACCCTGAATGAAGGGGTTCCGAAAATAGGGGTACCCTTTTTGGGGGTTCCTATGAGAAGGATTGTAGCAATTGGGCGTATTATTAGGGGAACCCTTATAAACCGCAAATCGCGGGGTGCTCTGGAAGTGGCCTTGGTTTGCTCAAGGGCACTAAACCCTAAACCCTAAACCCTGCACCCTAAACCCTACACCCTGCACCCTAAACCATGGCCTCCGCGACTTTTACCCTAAACCCTAAACCCTAAACCCTAAGCCCTAAACCCTAAACCCTAAACCCTAAACCCTAAACCCTAAACCACTTTTTGGCATTCTCTTTGGGGTGTGCTCCTGCAAGGCTCTTGCCGTGGGCTTGCAGTGTTGTGGGACTGATACCCTACACAGAAACCCCTAAATCCCTAGACCCCTTAAAACCCTAAACTCCCCTAAACCTCTAAGCCCCTAAACCCCTGCCCTAAAACCCTGAATCCCTACACCCCAGTTAAGCCCTAAACTTAAACCCTAAACCCTTGCAAGCCTCCGCGCAAGAAAATGCCTGAAACCCTCAAACCCTAAACCCTAAACTTAACACCTAAACCCTTATAGGCCTCGGCTAAAAAGAGAGCGACAGGAGCTCCAGTACCCTTTATTACGGAATACTCTTTAGAGATCAGAGGGTTCCTTACATGGTTTAAGGAATCTTCCTTAACTCGGGGGTAGTGGAGTCTCTGTGGAGCGACAGGAACTCAATCTCGGGTCTGCGATGTGTGGGCCTGGATGGTTACAAGGCTGGGCTTTTTGTTTTTTGAGGGAGACAGCGGTTGGAGGGATCTTCGGGTTTAGGGTTTAGGGGTGAGAAGGCTGGGTGCTTTTTTGAGGCTAGAGGGATCTGGTTAAGGTTTTAGGGTTTTTTGGAGGTTAAACGGGTTGAGGGATCTGTGTTTAGGGTTTACAGGTTTATAGGGTTTTCATAGGGTTTATCAGGTTTAGGGTGTGGAGTTTCGGGTTTAGGCGTGTAGGGTTTAGGGTTTAGTGCATAGGGATGCAAGGGCGAGGGTGTATTGGCCCGTGGCAGTTCATCAACCGCCATGTTGGAAGAGATATAATGTATTTTACGTCCAATGCAAATGCTTGGTTTTCTGGAATCATCTGGAATTGTCTTGCTTTATACTTCAGAATTACTCGCGGTCACAGTCTTCATGTCACCCGTCGGCGGTGCATGATGGTCTCCACAAGCCCTTGGGCTGAGCCTCTTCATGCTGCCAAGAAAGTCGGCTTTCGTCCCCGTTGCAAAGCGCACAAGCTGCAGCGAGAGTGATGATACTTGGAGGTTCATGGGTAGCTATACCTAGGGTCATCGGGATACTTACCATGCTTATACGCATACTCATATAAATAGGGGGTGTTCAAGGGGGTAGGGCAGCCAGGGAACCTTAAAGAAGCTTAGGGAGCCCTAGGGAGTAGTGGGGAGCATTGCGGAACCTCGGGTTACATGCCCCCCGGTTGAAAGCCCCCTTCCCTTCAGAGCCCTACAACTATAGCTACCCACGGAGCTCCGAGTATGCATCATGAGCGGATGTACTTAGGGTTTAGGGTTTAGGGTTTAGGGTTTAGGGTTACTGTATAGAGTTGCGGGTCACGGGTGGTCTTCGGGAAGTTCATAGGTGTTGGCTGCCTATATGGCACCCCTTTCTAGGATGCCCAGTAGTGCCCTTATTCCTTTTTTGGTAATTTGGTTTAGGTTCCCTCTATAAACCCCTTTAAGCAAAAAAGGGCACCCTTTTTCATCCCAGGTTACTGGGCAACCTAGCTTTGGGGGCCCCTGTTACGAGGCCATTCAGAGCCTGGGCGAAAACTACCGGCAGTGGGATCTCACGACCTTCTTCCCCATGGAGGCCCTGCTTGAGGGCATGGAGCCTTTTAGGGTTTAGGGTTTAGGGTTTAGGGTTTAGGGTTTAGGGGAACCTGCTTCCTTGCAAAGCCACCTCTTCCTGGTAGCCTAGCAGCACTCCTTTGCCAGTTTTTTTGGTTCTGGGCTCCCTTATCATCGTAACCAACCAAAGCAAGGTAGCCGTCATGTTACTGGGCTACCCAGCCCGTAGCCTAAACCCTCAACCCTAAACCCTAAACCCTAAACTCTAAACCCTAAACCCTAATCCCTAAACCCTAAACCCTAAACCCTAACCCTGAACTCCCTTACATCTGAAGGGGGTGGACTACACGATCTCTTTCGAAGTCGGTGAGCACATCCCTCCAGAGGCCGCCGTGCCTTGAGAATTCCATCCCAAGCCCTACACCCTAAGCCCGAAACCCTAAACCCTAAACCATAAACCCTAAGCCCTAAGCCCTAAGCCCTAAGCTGAAACCTATTTACCTACAATTCAGTAGCAACTACACCCTGAATTAGCAGGTATAACCCATAAAACCCGTAAAACTGTAACTGTCGTTCGAGTCCCAAGTAGGCCCTAAACCCTAAACCTATTCGGATTGCCAAGGTTGCACATTGGTAGTGAGGGCAGCCATTGCTCGCCCCTCCAGCCACAGTTAAAATGGCTGGTGGCTCTACGTAATATAGGGGTTTAGGGTTTGGTTTAGGGTAATGTCTCCTAGTGTTTTTTAGGGTTCCTTATATAGTTGTCGTACAATAACCTCCCAAAGCCCTGTTCTAAATTACTAAGGCCCCTATAGGAGAGGACTAGCAAGCCCCGGCTGCGCGATCTCAATTCAGCTAAGGATCGAGGTGAGCTCGGTTGGCCCTTTGGTAAACCCTAAACCATGTTCAGGAATGTTTTTCAGATGGTTTAAGGGCCATCCTAGTCTTATTAGGGTTTGGTTTAGGGGTTTAGGGTTTAGGGTTTAGGGTTCAGGGTTCAGGGTTTAGGGTTTAGGGTTTAGGGTTTAGGGTTTAGGGTTTAGGGTTTAGGGGAGCATCTTGTTTTGGAGGCAATTGCCTGGGGGTTGCGTGACGTGGCTGTACGGAAGGGTTTCTCTGGTCCTTTGTAAGGCGAGAACACACTTGAAGCCCTGAACCCCCTAAATCCTGAACCCTCAACCCTCAACCCTCAACGCTCAACCCTCAACCCTCAACCCTAAACCCTAAACCCGAAACCCTAAGCCCTAAGCCCTAAGCCCTGAACCCTAAGCCCTAAACCCTAAACCCTAAACCCTAAACCTACTTGGGCGCCCTTGGGGAGACCCCCGAGTCCCTTGGGGACCCCCAGTCGGCGCCAGGCCGAAGCGGCTTTCCTCCGCACTTTGAGCCAAGCAAAGGACTATGAAGGGTTTAGGGTGTGGGGTTTAGGGTTTAGGCTTTAGGCTTTAGGCTTTGGGCTTTAGGCTTTAGGCTTTAGGGTTTAGGGTTTAGGGTTTGGGGTTTAGGAGTAAAGCCTTATCCCGCGGAGAGCCCAATACACCCCCTTTGATTCAGGAATGCACCTTAAACTATACACGGCTTCTGACGATGAAGTCAGGCATATTCCGTAATTAAAGGGCGCATCATTCAAAGAGCTTATAACCTTCAACGCAAGCCTAACGTCCAGAACCCTAAAACTTAAACCCTAAAGAGCTTAGAGTCTTTTCCCGTCAAACCCTGAACCTCAAGCCCAGTTATCTCAGCACGTAAACCATATTTGGGGTTTAATTAGGGTGTTTAGGGTTTAGGGTTGGGGGGGTTGGGGTTTGGGTTTGGGGTTTGGGGGTGGAGCTTGAAGGTAACCTTAAACCCTAAGACCTCAACAGGGTTTAGGGTTTAGGGTTTAGGGTTTAGGGTTTAGGGTTTAGGGTTTAGGGTTTAGGGCAGAGACCTCATTCTGGAGGAGGGCATCATCCTTGCCTGGGCGACACCTGGGCAGGTTGGGGATCCCACGGCTGTGCCGGTTACGGTTTACGGTTTACGGTTTAGGGTTTAGGGATTAGGGTTAGGGTTTAGGGTTTAGGGTTTATGGTTTAGGGTGTGGGTTGTAGGGTTTAGGGTTTAGGGTTTAGGGTTTAGGGTTTAGGGTTTAGGGTTTAGGGTTTAGGGTTTAGGGTTTAGGGTTTGGAGGGATCTGTTTTGTTAGGGGGAGATTTTCGGGGGTTTTGCTGAAGGTTTCTCAGGGCCTTTCTGGTCGTTTATAAGGGTTTTTTGGACCTTTGAGATCGTTTTTGCTTTTTGTTTCTGGTTTTTAAGGCTTTGGCGTTTATGGTTTCAGGGGTTGGGCCTTAGGGTGTAGGGTTTAGGGTTTAGGGTTTTACGTTTTCGGGCTTGCAGGGTTTTGGGGTTTAGGGGCGCTCTCGGTCCAGGGTCGTCTTGGCCATGCTAGAACTTTGTGACTCCAGCTCACCCTACACCCTAGACCCGAAACCCGCAAAACCCTAAATCTAGGACTGCCTGTCTGTGGCAGTTGGGCCTTTAAATGAGGTTCAGCGGGCAGTTCAGTGCAACCATAGTTTGCCATGGCCCAAAACTTAAGGGTAGCCCGCCCCACATATGTGCTGCCTAGCATGGTTGAAGAACAGCGCAAGGCGTGCGCGACCGAAGTGCAGAAGACGTGTCCCGACCCCTAAACTGAAAACCCAAAAAAAACCCGTAAACCCTCAACCCTGAACCCAAAACTTGGCCCTAACCCCTAAACCCTAAACCCTAAACCCTAAACCCTAAACCCCAAAAGCCCTAAACTCTTCATGGCAAAGCCCTTTCGCAATAGGCGGGGCACGGTCACGTCAACGGCCGCTGGCAGCGCTACCTGATCGGCAAGCTGACGACGGGGCACCTGCGCTACTGGCTAGGCCCAACTGGGATGCGTTTTTTATTTGGGGGTTTAGGGTTTAGGGTTTAGGGTTTAGGGTTTAGGGTTTAGGGTTTAGGGTTTAGGGTTCACTTATTGGGTTTTGAGGGGATCCAATTTAGGAATTTGGAATACATTTCAAAGAGTTTTTAGGGACCCTCCTAGGCTATTGCCTGGCCCTCTCGCACCAGCTTGCGCAGGGCTCTCTGGCTGCGCAAGAGATTCAGGAGGTCAGAGAAGATCTCAGATGATCACCCTTCGAGGGTTTAGGGTTTAGGGTTGAGGGTCTAGAGTCCCCATGTAATCCGTCAGCGTCAACCCCAAGAAGTCGCACAAATCGCATTCCCGGCAACATCTCCGGGATAGAAAGGCCTAAACTCTAAACCCTAAACCCTAAACCCTAAACCCTAAACCCTAGATAAGACCGAAGCTCCTTGAGTTGCATGCTTGTCAGTGAGGGTTAAGGGCTATGGGCACAGGCCGTTTAGAGTTTCAGTTGTTGCCGTGGTTTTGGGTTTAGGGTTTAGGGTTTAGGGTTTGGGGTTTGGGGTTTAGGGTTTTGGGGTTTGGGGTTTGGGGTTTTGGGTTTGCAAATTTACAGCTCCGATCATCATCAGCACTGTGGACGACAAAGGGAGAAAAAGCATTGCGGAGAGCAATCCAAGGATTTTCGCAAGGATTCCACTCTTTGTGGGAGTACCGCAACCTCATGGTGTTCGTCGCAAAGGACTTCACAGAGGGTTGAACAAGGGCAGGTGTTAATGTCGCAAGTCGTTGTATCGAGCTGCTGCGTAGGACTCGTGCGGTTGAGCCGGATGGTTTTCAGATAGTCCGACACCTCGGAGCGCAAGCCACACTTACCCTAAACCCTGATCCCTAAACCCTAAACCCTAAACCCTAAACCCTAAACCCTAAACCCTAAACCCTAAACCCTAAACCCTAAACCCTAAAACCCTAAACCCTAAACCCTACAAACGTGCGAAGGACTCGGCGCACATCTGCGACCTTCCTACCCGAGACCTCGTCGCTTCGGTCGGTGTCCTTCTGGCTGCAGCTGGTGCAGCCGTGGCATTGACCCTGGCCCTTCGCGGGTGCCGCCGGGTTTGGGGTTTAGGGTTTGGGGTTTAGGGTTTAGGGTTTAGGGCTAGACGTTTATACTTGCAGTACAAGGAAAGGTTACTTGTTGAGGACAGCTAGCACCCTCCTAAACCCTCAAAACCAAAACCCCTAAATTCCTAAACCCTAACTCCCAAAATCCTAAACCCTAACCTCACATCCTAAACCCCGAAATTCCTAAAACCTATAAACCCTAAACCCTAAACCCTAAACCCCCCAAAGCCCCCAAAGCCCCCAAAGCCCCCCCAAAAGGCCACTGCAGAAACTTGCCACCGAGCCGGGTGCCCTCGGCTCGTCGGGGCTGATGGCAAGCTGCATTCGCATGCTGGGGCCCCAGGGGTTTAGAGGGTTTAGGGTTTAGGGCCTAACCCTAAACCCTAAGCCCTAAGCCCTAAGCCCTAAACCCTAAACCCTAAACCCTAAACCCTAAACCCTAAACCCTAAACCCTAAACCCTGACCTTACACACCCTAAAACGCGTCGGGATGCAGGTTCGCACAGAAACTGCCCAGGCTACAGTGAGCTCCCAGAGATGGCTTAGTTGAGGAGTGCTCCTTAAGTCGCATAGGGATTCTTATCATGGCGTTTAGGGTTTAGGGTTTAGGGTTGATTTTCCTGAAGCTGTTTTGGAAGATCGGATGGCCACAGCCCCAGGTTTCGAGCCTCGCGCCTCGGCTTCTCCGGGAAAATCTCAACGGTCTGACACGGCGCGAACGGGCTTAGGGCTTAGGGCTTAGGGTTTAGGGTTTAGGGTTTAGGGTTTAGGGGTTTAGGGGTTTAGGGGTTTAGGGTTTAGGGGTTTAGTGGCTTAGGGGCTTAGGGGCTTAGGGCTTAAGGGGTTCAACTTTACGGCTTAGGGCTGAGGGCTTGCATGCTGTAGAGGCACCCGAGACTGCGCAACCGGCGCGGCAAAAATGCGCGAATGGGCCTCCGCCGACACGCGCATGGGTTTGGAGTATGTTGAACAATTCTTAGATTGAGGCTTCTTAAGGGACTTTTGTTGGCATGTTGAGGCCTAGTTTTGGGCAAGAGAAACCGCATGCCTTTCCACCAAAGGAGCAGACATTCAACCCCGGCAGCAGGTCTTCTCAAAGCGAAGCCTCAAAGCGACACCTCAGCTCTGAACCATCTCAAGGTTCAGGCACCAAAAGGAGCACAAGTGGTTGGGGCTCAGGGTTAAACGGGGCCTAAGGGTTTAGGGTTTAGGGTTTAGGGTTTAGGGTTTAGGGTTTAGGGTTTAGGGTTTAGGGTTTAGGGTTTAGGGTTTAGCGAAACCCATGTGGGAGGCTTCAAGGCATCCTTTTGGAAGGGCCCCAAGCGCCCCTTGAGCCTTTGCAATTTAGTGAGTTTTCTAAATCATCACGGGTTCCCCTCCTACCCCCCTCTGTACTACCCCCCCCCCCCCCGTTACCCCCCATAATTCGGGCTAGGTAGGGGCTATTCAGCTTCATTAAGGTTATTCAGGGGGGGACCCTGGGGAAGTAGTAAAGAGGGGGTGAAATCATGGGTACATGTTAGGGCCCGCCTTATAATCGCAAACCCCCCCCCTCCAAACAAAACACACACACACACACACAACTCAGAGAAGTCATCACATAATCTCGCCTCGCTGTCATCTCTCATCAGCATGTAGAAGTCTACGGCCACACCGCGGGGCAATGTTTCGCAAACTGGTTGAGTTTGCGGCGATCTTCCAAGCCTTGGGTGTGGGAGCGGAGACTGCATGCCTTTCGAACGCGATAAGCTCAAGTCAAAGGAAGAACTTGACTGCGAACGGTGAGTCCTATCCAATCGGCCTTTGGATCAACAACTGGGATGCTAGCTTCGTGACGACCGCCACCCTCCACATCCTCATAGAGGAGCGCTGAGTCCTTCACCAGACTTCCAGAACACATCCCCCACCCGCCAAAGATTTGAAACCGTTAGATGTATATATATATATATGCATATAGTATACTATATTCAGCTATATACATATACATATATTTGGTTCAGAAAACAAAGAATCAGCTTTTAATCTACTAATGAATTAATCACGCAGTACAGGATAAGTACACATACATGTATATATATATATATATATGAAATCCCTTCTCCGAGCCGAGTGAGCTTGTGAATTGAACCTAGGGATTTAGGGTGCAGCCTCAAGCCGAAAGGGTGCTCGGCTTAAACCCTAATTCCTAATCCCTAAACCCTAATTAAATCCTAAACCCTAAATCCTAAACCCTAAACCCTAAATCCTAAACCCCAGACCCTAATCGTGGGGTTTAGGGTTTAGTGCGCAGGAGCTGTTGGGCTACAACGTCATTGAAACTGGAGTTGGGCCCGGGACGACCAATGCCTTCTACGCCTCTAAGCAGGACCTTAGGATGTGTTTCTTAATTATATTGGTTTGTTTAAGTAGGGTTTCTGTTTTGTCGGGGGTTCTTATTTGGGCATCTAGGGGCTATATTGAGGTTTAAGGGTAGCAGAGAAAGAGGCCACCGGCCTTTATAAGGCTGATATGAAGGGACTACAGGAGGGACCCTATAAGGGACTTTCTTCGGGGTTTCTTTAGGGTCTATCGGGGCCTGTTTTCAAGGGCTATGTAGCCCTTTTATACCGCAAAGAGAATGGAATCCCCCTTAACGGGACCCCCAAAAAGAGTACCCTATTTTCGGAAACCCTCATATCGAGGGCTTAAGAGGATCGTCTCTTTGTTCCTCATACAGGGTTTTAAGAGAGTCATATCTCTGGGTAGCCCAGCCGTACCCTTTACCCTTTTTGTGGTTCTGGGCTCCCTTATAAAGCAAACAACCAACAAAAAAGGGTTCCCTTACTATAAGATGGTTGCAGGGCGACCAAGATCTCGGAAATATTTCTCCCTGAACCCTACAACCTACAACCCTAAACCCGAAACCCTAAACCCTAAACCCTAAAACCTAAACCCTAAACCCTAAACCCTAAACCCTAAACCCTAAACCCTAAACCCTAAACCCTAAACCCTAAACCATCCAAGGCCCTGATGGGCTGTGAGCGGCCGTTGGACCTTACGGACCCTGGCTGCGCGCCGGACTTGGCAACTAGGTAGGCCCTTGAGATATTTTTTGAAATTTCACCTTCTCGGTAGGGTTAGGGTTTAGGGTTTAGGGTTTAGGGTTTAGGGTTTAGGGTTTAGGGTTTAGGGTTTAGGGTTTAGGGTTTAGGGTTTAGGGTTTAGGGTTTAGGGTTTAGGGTTTAGGGTTTAGGGTTCCCTAAACCCTCAACCCGGCTCAAGAGGATTCAAGGACTAGTTTCAGAGTCCTTTCAGGGCCATCCTAGGTAACCCACAACCACATCAATATCGAGCAGTGGCCTGAGGACTCGTGACTCTGCGAGCGGTTCTTACTTAGCCAAGAGTTGAACTTTAAGCTCTTTGGGTTTGTTTATGTTGCAGGAACATTAGCGATTATCCTTTTTCCCTTGGTTTTTGGAGAAGTAAGGATTGCTTGTCCTGGTCCTGTCATGGGTTTAGGGTTGTAGGGTTAAGTGTTTTCTAGATTTGTTAAACATCCTAATAGCGGCCCGGAGGACTACGCTGCGGTATGGGCCGAAATCGTAACGAAGTACCCATCTTCAGCTCCCGTGGATTTGGGCTCCATGGGCTACGATGGCGCGATCTCCACCTACTTTGCTCGGTCCATCCTCGCAGAGTCATATTTCCAGGCTCAGTAGTGGTACCCTTTACCCTTTTTTTAGGTTATGGGTTACCTTCGAAAGCAATTAACCCAAAAAAGGGTGCCCTTATTATAATATGTTTACTGGGCTGCTAAGCAGGATGGCGCCGTGCTTCAGCACTATCGCAGCTGGAATACGTCGTGGAGCCAGAATGAGAAGTACTTTGCGAGCCTGGCGTCCATCGACAAAAGCCTCTTGCACCCCTGCAATGAGACTCAACTAATGGCCTCGTCGCAAAATGAGGGTTACCTCAAGTTCACAGGCGGGGCAAGCGGGATCTTGAAAGAAACATCTTAGCCCTTAGCAAGTACTCTGCAAGTGCTTGAGGGCCTTGTATCATAGATAGAGAAAAATATATACATCTATATATATATATATATATATCTTAGTAATCCTGCGGGTGTTGTAACGGGAATGGCGCGTGAACCGGATGCAGGCGACATGGACGGCCTGCGGCAGCAACCGAACGGAGACTTGGTGGCCTACTGCCCGGATGGCTACTGGTGGCTATCACCGGCCTGCCGTCACAATGCTTCTCGGTGCGTGCCGTATGTGACCGCCGCTTTGGGGTGGTGGGGCTTGGACGACATGATGCAGAAGGTCACGGCCTACGACATGCCCGTGGCCGTTGGGGTGTCCAGGAGATGGGAAGAGTTTGCGCTGCAGGTCTTGGTTGCCCAGTGGTACCCTTTGCCCTTTTTTGTGGTTATGGGTTCCCTTAGAAAATAGCCAACCCAAAAAGGGTGCCCTTATTGTAAGATGGTTGCTGGGCTACCACGAGGTCAAGTGTTTGTTCTACTGGTGGATTCCTGACGCGACATTCCTCGACCTGGCCCCGGTGGACATCACCTTTCCGCCCTATGACTTCAATGCTTACATCAATGGCGACAAGCGAACGGCAGCCGCTTCCAGCGCGGTCACCAAGATCGTTAGCCAAGACTTGTCCTCCTTGGCCCCAAATGTGGTGGAGTTGGTTCGGAAGATGCGGTGGAATATGAAGCCCGGGCTGATTTGAAATTAGTCTTACAGCTTTCTGGGGCCGCACTCCCTAGTATCAGTCAGTCTAACCCACAACTAGAAGCCATAGAAGTACTTGTTGTATAGCAAATCCCAAGGAAGGATGTGATGGACATGATGCAGGAATGGAGAAAAAGTGGCGACACCACCAGGGACGTTGCGTGCCGTTGGCTCCAGGCCAACCCAACCTCATGGTCCTCATGGTTGCCGGACAAGACGAAGTGTTTCCCTGGGTTTCTGGGGTTGATTTGGCAAATACTGTAAGTTTCGTGAGCTCTAGTCCCTAAACCCTGAACACTAAAGCCTAAACTCTAGAAAGCCCTATATATCAGCTCGTAAAAAATACAAAACATATTCTGTTGTCCACAAAGGTTTGGTCTCTACAACACCAATCTCGAGGATTTCACGAGCATCAGGGATGACCTGACGTTTCTGGAATGTCGGGCGTGTGTGTCGGGGCGATACTCAAAACAGATGCAGGATGACATTGGCATAACCTATGAGTGCAGGCCCTGTGACGTGGTCGCCCACTGATGCCCTTTTTGCCCATTTTGGGGTCTAGGTTAGCTTATGAATGCCCCAACACCCTTCCCTAAACCCGAAACCCTAGACCCTAAACCCGAAACCCTATTTAACAGCCCCAAGCCCCTAACCTCTTATTCTACTATGGCTACTGGGCTACTGCAACCAAGACCCTAAACCCTAAGCCCTAAACCCTAAACCCTAAGGTGAGCCGGGCACCAGCCAGCCCTCCGGCGCGGCGTTGGCCTGCGAGCCGTGCCAGCACGGCGAGTATCAGCACCTGGGTATAAGGAGCAGGGTTTTTAAAGGTTTAGGGTTTAGGGTTTGGGGTTTAGGGTTTGGGGTTTGGGGTTTAGGGTTTAGGGTTTAGGTATATGCCGGCACCCCCCCCAGCTACCCTTTAACCAGAATAGTAGGGTCTATAAGTCCCCTTTATTAAAGGGTAGTTGGGGGGGTCCAGGTGCCTTGGGACATTTTCTCGGCAGGCCCTTGGGATAGTTTATAGTTTATATCTTCCCTTCTGACTGGGTTTAAGGTTTAGGGTTTAGGGTTTAGGGTTTAGGGTTTGGGTTTTAGGGTTTAGGGTTTAGGGTTTAGGGTATTTAGGAGTAGGTTATACCTTTTATGGGTTTGAGGAGGTTATTCTCCTGTTTCGGAGTAGGTCTTGGAGGGTCTAAGTATGCCCCAACCGAGGAACAATTCCGGGAGCCAAAGCTGCAACAGATGCGACATCGGCCAGTACCAGGATCAAAAAGGCTCCTTGGGTTTAGGGTTTAGGGTTTAGGGTTTAGGGTAGCCCAGTGGTACCCTTTTCCCCCTTTTTTGGGTTTAAGGTCCCCTTATCAAGCAATCAACCCAAAAAGGTTGCCCGCGTTATAAGATGGTTCCTGGGCTTCCAAGGCTCGCCCTTGTGCTTTTCGTGCCCAGAGGGCGGAACAACCCTGGGCTTTGGCTCGATCTCCAGGGCAGCTTACTCAGCCAATAGTTGAACTTTACCACTTTTTGGGTTTCCTTATTTAGTAGGAACAAAAAAAGTCTAACCCTTTTTTTCCCTTGGTTATTACCCTAACCCCTAAACCCTAAACCCTAAACCCTAAACCCTAAACCCTAAACCCTTGGAGAAGTAAGGCAGACTGCGGATGTCCGGCAGGGTACATCAATGTCGAGGGCAACGCGAGCCAGCTGAGTTGTGCGGAGTGTGGCGAGGGCTTCTGGACATGCCCTTAGGGTTTAGGGTTTAGGGTTTAGGGTTTAGGGTTTAGGGTTTAGGGTTTAGGGTTTAGGGTTTAGGGTTTAGGGTTTAGGGTTTAGGGTTTAGGGTTTAGGGTGTTTTCCCTTAATTGGGTTTAAGAGGATCATACTTACTCGGAAAAGGAGCAGGCCCTTATTCACTTTTTTAGGGCTCCGGATCCCTTATAAGCCCCTTTAAACCCAAAAGGGCAGCCGCGTTATTCCTGGGTTATTCTTGGCGGTCGTTTAGGAATATTTTTTCAGAGGGTTTCAAGAACCCTCAACCCGAAACCCTAAACCCTAGCCCTAAACCCTAAACCCTAAACCCTAAACCCTAAACATTAAGGGCCATCCGAGGCTTTGATTGTCCTGCCCTCAGCACACGCGACAGCCTCATCTCCGGTAGCTCCGCTTTGGGCGATCAATTCGTGCCGGTTGTCCTGGAGAACTTCTACAGCACCCCTGAGGACACGGTTGAGGGTTTAGGGTTTAGGGTTTAGGGCTTAGGGTTTGGGGTTTAGGGTTTAGGGTATCTTCTACAGCACCCTGAGGATAACGATACCAGAGAAGAGTAAGTAGCACAATCTAGAAACGACATAGGAATAGCACAGTAGACAAAATTGGGAAAACGCAACAAAGGTAATTTTCGATCGTAAAACCAGATATTCGTATACGACTCAGTGATATGAAAATATGACCATATCATAATTTGAAAATATCAGGCCAAATCAATATAAGGTTAAAAAGAAAATCAAAAAACTCAAATGTACTTATCGAAGAATATAGCAATACGAGAAGACGTCAATAGAACAACATCTCAATATCATAACAAGATCATAAAACCATGATACAATAAAAGAGATCATCATTTCACACAACACAGCACCCCTGAGGCTCCCTTAGCCGCGTACCGGTGCGTCGGCGAGTTTCGCTGCCCCGGCGGAACGCCGGGAAGCTGCCGCAGCAGTCTTCAGGGCACCGCATGTACCGATTGCCCGCAGGGACAAACTTGGGGTGAAGCTCGGTAGGCCCTTCTTCGGCTTGGTAGCCCAGTGGTACCCCTTACCTTTTTTTGGGGGGCGGTTCTGGTTTCCTCTTCTAAAATAACCAACCCAAAAAAGGGTGCCCTTATGATAATATGGTTTCTGGGCTGCCAGGTGGGAGATTGTATATTTTTCCCCCCCTTTATTATTGGGGGATTTGATAGAGGGTCATATGGGGGTTTCTGAAAGTAGCGGTACCCTTTTTTTGGGGGGTTAGTCGAATTGGGGTATACAAAGGGGGGGACCCCTATTTTGTGGGAAATGCCCATGTTCCGGAATATCTTTCAGAGGGTTTTAAAGGGCCACCCGAGGAACAGGCCTGCGCAGAATGTACCACGTGGCAGATATTCGGGTGGGTTGCCGCGCTCGTCCTGATCGCCATCGGCCTGGTTGCGGTATCTTAGTAGCTGAGTGAGTACACTTTACACTCCTTGGGATACTATAGCCCCTATAAAATTGCAAGTGTCCACTTTTTGGGGGCTGATGAACTCAGCAACCAAGGTGTACTACTCCCTGACATCGCACTCAACTGCAAAGGCATCGGTGCTGTTTACAACGACCTGCGCTTTCGGCATGACGTTCCTTGGTAGCCCAGTGGTAGCCTTTACCCCTTTTTTTGGTTCAAGGTTCCCTCATACAGCAGCCAACCGCCCCAAAAAGGGTGTAACAGTATGATCTAAGGGTATATTCCTTAATTAGTTGGGTTTAAAGTAACCAACCCAAAAAGAAAGGGTACCCTTGTTATGAAATGGCTGCCAAGATCTCGGAAATATCGGTAAGCTCTAAACCCTAAACCCTAAACCCTAAACCCTAAACCCTAAACCCTAAACCCTAAACCCTAAACCAAGGATCAATGCGCTACAAAGTGTTGGGATCATTGGAATGATGACGGTGCAGTTTCCGGATGGTCTCGCAGGAGTCTACGAGTTCTTCCAAGTGTTTTTGCTGGACATCGACACTAGGTAGGCCATTGGGATGTTTTGTATTTCCCTTTATTGGGTTGAAGAGGATCATATTTAGGAATATCTTTCAGAGGTCTTCAAGGGCCATGCTAGGATAGCTTCGGTTTCGGCTGCATCGCGGGGAGTTTCGTGCCTTTGCGCTACATTGCCTCCGCCTGCTTCTTCCCTGGAGCGGTCGTGTACCTCCTTGTGTGCCAACAAGCCTCCAAGTGTTTGCCCTGGGAGTATCTTGGGCAGGCCACTGGTGCCCTTTTGCCCATGTTTTGGGGTTCTGGGAAACGCACCCAACGCCCAAATCCCTGATTGTAATGTCCTAAACCCTAAGCCCTAGACCCTAAACCCTAAACCCTAAACCCTAAACCCTAAACCGACTGCTACCAAGGTATCGATGGGCAGGCCCTAAGACCTGGAGTTGCATCGGCGCGGTGCTGCAGGTGGGATTCAGCACCATGAGCACCATCGCCTTGGCTCCACTCATGTGCTTTAGCCACCCGAATGGCGTGCACAGTGTCTTGAAATACCCCAGCGTCACGTGCGGCACACCAGATCACACAGTGATGCTGGTAGCCGGCCTACTTCTTCTGCTGCTTGGCGTTTTGGGCTTCCTGGCACTTTGCACATATGCGGTGGTGGTGGTGCCAACATGGAGCAGCACTGGCAAGGGTGAGAGGGTGCAAGCCTTCCGTTTTTTGCTCGGTCGATTCCGCTTGGATAGCTGGTGGTTTGGGGTGGCGCTACTGGCACGCGGTCCGTTGATGTCTCTGCCAATTGCCTTGGCAACTGACTATCCCCCGATTCAGATCATGGCCGTGATGTTGATTTTCCTGCTCTTTCTTGTCATGGAAACGCGGGCTTGGCCCTGGAAGGTGCCACTCCTGAACGTGCTGGGCAGTTTCACTGGCCTTTGCATCACCATCCTGGTGGCCTCGAATGCCCTCCACATCGGCACTGTTGAGGGGGCCATGAAGCAGTTTGCGGATGTTCTTGGTACTGCGACGATGGGTCTGCTTGGAACGGTGATATGTCTACTTCTGGTAATGACAAGCAGCGCCCTCGTCTACCAGGCAGCTCTCGGCGGGCAGAACGAGTTGTGCATGTTCAACCTCCAGAGAGTGCCACCTGCTGTCCTGGTCAGCGCAACCCTGCATAATACCGCGTCGCAACTGGCACAGCTGGAGAGGCTTGAGGTCACAAGAAGTGTGGGTAGGTTGCTTGGTAGCCCAAGGGTGTCCTTTTGCCACCCTTTTTTGGCTTCTATAATCCCTTACAAAGTACCCAACCCCAAAACAAGGGTACCCTTCCGAGAAGAATCCCCTAAACCCTATAAACCCTAATCCCTAATCCCTAAACCCTAAACCCTAAACCCTAAACCCTAAACCCTAAACCCTAAACCCCTCAGAATCTGATTTTCTTGTTTGTTTTTTTTTTTTTTCCCAAGGTTGGCTGTCTACGACATCAACCTCCTACTCTCAGCCATGGCCCTGATCGCCTCGGAGGTCACCTTCGACCAGAGCTCCCCGCAGTTTCGCCGTCGCATCTTATGGGTACTTGGAAATATGTTTTTTGTTGTTTAATACTTTTTGGGTACTGTAATTGTAAAGAAACAGCTAAAATTCTGATCTTTGGGTACTAAGAAAACAGCTAGAATAAGGATTGTTGCTAGGATTCCCGGTTCAGCATAGGTATCAGGTCCAGCTCGTTCGCGCCCAGCAGTATAAGAGAAGGCCCACCGCCCGCCCCAAAACGTGCCTCCCAAAAAGAGGAGGAGACAAACGAGGTTAAGGGCGAGCTGCCGGTGGAGCTCAAGAACGTGACTCCGGAGCTCACTAACGGGGTGACTCCGGAGCTCACCAACAAAGTGACTCCGGAGCTCACCAACAAGGTAGCTCCCGTGATGCACGTTTACGTTTGACAACTCCTTTAGAATGACCTGCGAAGCAGGTCCTTTGCTGCGTAATTACCCGGGTAGTCCTCTAAATTGGGGTCGGGCCTGATGTACGAAGGGCGCCCTACTACGTAGAGGACAGGGTTTGGGGTTTGGGGTTTGGGGTTTGGGGTTTGGGGTTTGGGGTTTAGGGTTTAGGGTTTAGGGTTTAGGGTTTAGGGTTAGGGTTTAGGGTTTAGGGCCCCAAAAAGGGACCCCAATTTGGAGAACTGCCCCGAGTCCTGGTCCGGATGGCACCTCGTGCTTTCCGCAGCTTGCTGCTGGCCCTTAGGCTCCTTAGACCGAACCGGAAGCGATCGCAGCCATGTGCACACAATAGGTTAAAAAGAAATCTAGAGGAATTTCTGTTTTTA